GGGGGGGGGGGGGGGGGCAGTCGGGAATCTTTGAGGATGTAAGCGAGGGATCTCTCATGAATAATTACACACACAAAAAAGTAGATAAATAAGGATAATGCTATTTGTACCCCATTTGTACACGGCAGGTGTGCACCAACATATTTTGTGTTGGTGTAATGCTAATTTTTGTTAACGCACCAACACTTTGTGTCGGTGTAATTTTTGTTAACGCACCAATACATTGTGTCAGTGTGAACCATCAAAATGTTGGTGTATACTTTTAGTGTAAGTTTGGGGTACAAATTTTGGGGTAAGAGTACCATGGTCCAATAAATAATTTCACACAAGAAGCAGAGTCCAGTAGAGTACTAGAGTAGAGTAGAGTAGAGAGAGAGAGAGAGAGAGAGAGAGAAAGAGTCTTCCTCCACTAATAAAGCTATTGCATTGTATTCTTCTTCTTCTTCTTCTTCTTCTTCTTCTTCTGGAGGTGTAAGGTTCTCCATAAATATAGGGTAGTCTTGGTTATTGGCGATGACCATCGGGGAGGGCAACTACCCTGTGGAAAGGTACCGATCGTGAAGGTAGAGATCCATCTTCCTCCTCATCGTCGTCAAATTCCAACATGTAACTGTCACCAAGAAGACAATAACATCGTATTTTGTTAGATTCGTTAGATATATTTTTTGTCATACGGAAACACAAAGTCTCTTGGCTCTTTTTATTCAGAATATCATTTTATATCTGCTTTACTTTAACATCAAAAGCCAAAACATCAGGAATAACAGGTGGTGGATTATCAGCCCATTCCAGCAAACCAAGGCACAAACCTAGCAGCCAAAGCTAACATATGGGCAGTTTGGTTCGCTGATTTCCTTACACATGGCAAACATAATGTATCTCGCAATCAGTCTCTCGTGCACAATGAGGAGGACTGGGAATAATATTTAACAAAACTGTTTTTAAAAAGTTTGAGACAATAATATCCAAGTAAAAGTACTCCGTAATATTTTCTTTCATTTAGCAGTTGGCACAACAAGCAACTCTTCCATTACTTTTTTCTTTTATATGAGCTATTATTTGGTAGAAAATACATTGTCCAAACAATCAAGTGGACACAATATTTTGTCGTGGGGTGTGTGAAAAACAAATCACTGTGTTTAGAGAATAGAGAATATGATCTCCTTTGATAGGGGATTCTCTATATCAAAAGTGCAAACGAAATTGTGGGAATAAGCAAAGAACTCATTTCTTGTAGTCTTGCCTAGCAAGCAAAGACATGTTGACTAAATAATTTTTCTCTTTCACCAATTCCACGACGTATAATTGTATAAATAGCAAAAATAAAAAGGTTAAAAGAGGTGGCATCACTTACTCATCGGTCTTCTTCTGGAAAGTAGAAAACAATTGGTAGGAACATGCAACAAACAGTAAAAGATGTCAATTTAATGTTATGACAAAATGAGGGTAAGCATATATGGTAAATACATTGCGTGATTTGGTTACCTTGCGAGGTTGGAGCACTGTTGCTTTGTAGAGGGCAGTGGTTCCAGGGTAAACTGCCAAAACTTGCCTTCCTGGAGGAAAATCTGGAGTACTAGCAGGCTCATTCCTCTTCGGAAAGGGTATGATATGTGACCATGGAAGCTTGTACTTTCTGAAATTACCCAGAAGAATAAACTTATCAGTTATGTTTAAAGCTAGGGAACATAATTCAGCTAAGAAGAAGATTCAGAGGAGTATCAAGATTCAGTCGGGTAAATAGAACAAAAGAAGCATATTAATTACCAAAGACTGCCCTGGGTGCAAGCCGGAAAATGATAGACTCTAGAGATAGAAAATATGGAGAAAAATAGAAGAGTAATTGGTAGCAAATACCCCGTATAATTCTACTCCCACCGTCCCACAAAGATTTACCCCCTTTCTTTTTTAATTTGTCCTAAAACAATTTTCTCATTTTCACTTTAAATAGAACAAAAGAAGCATATTAATTACCAAAGACTGCCCTGGGTGCAAGCCGGAAAATGATACTCTAGAGATAGAAAATATGGAGAAAAATAGAAGAGTAATTGGTAGCAAATACCCCGTATAATTCTACTCCCACCGTCCCACAAAGATTTACCCCCTTTCTTTTTTAATTTGTCCTAAAACAATTTTCTCATTTTCACTTTTTCCTTTTCTAGAAAAGAATAAGTGATCTAGATACTTTCTCTCTTCCAAACAACTCTCAACCACCCATTT